AAACCTGAAACCCAGGTATGTGCCCTTGACTGGGAATCAAACCCAAGACCCTTCAGTGTGTGGGCCGATGCTCTAACCACCGAGCACACTGGCCAAGGCAAGAGAAACTTTTATAATTTAAAGTTTTTAATTTTGTTGTTGGACATTAATGTTTCTTGGGAGATGTATTTTTGGGAATACATTGTTATATTTATTCTTGTCCTAGTTTCTGACTATTTTTTTTTTCAAAAGATACCTAGAAGGAGAATTACTTGGTCAGGTATGAAGACTTTTAGCTCCTGGCATGTATCCACATAATAATTTAATTATTTATCCAGCCTAAATGGAAAGGACCATTTCTTCTCTACACTCAGCACCGGCATACCTTGGAGACATTGCGGGTTCAGTTCCAGACACTACAATAAAGTGAGTATCACAATAAAGCGAGTCACAAGAATTTTTAGGCTTCCCTTAATTTAAAAATACTTTATTGCTAAAAAATAATATGCTAACCATCAGCCAAGCCTTCAGTGAGTGGGAATCCTTTTGCTCATGGAGGTTTTTGCCTTCAATCTATTTTTTTTTTAAGCAATATCTGTAAAGTTTAATAAAGCAAAACTCAATAAAATGAGGTCGGCCTGACACCAAATGTGTAGGGATTTCCACACAAAGCAGTTCTCCAGTCCTCAGCAGACACCAACAATTTAACTCTATTCTGACACTAACTGCCCAGAGCTAGGGTTGACCCTACAGGTTAAGGGCTCAGCCCACAGGTTATCCTCTTCCCCACTACTGCAGGTCCACGTTGTCACCTGTGTTTCTGACCAGTGGGAGGATTAAGTCAGGGGTTCTCATGAGCCTTTTCTCAGGGCTGATAATTTGCTGGAATGGCTCCCAGAGTTCAGGCACACACTTAATGTACTAGATCACAAGTTTATCGTGAAAAGGTACAACCTAGGACCAGCCAGATGGAAGAGCGGAAGGCATGGGGAAGAGGCACAGCGCTCCGGTCCCTCTCTGGGCACGCCACCCGCAGCGCCCGCAGGTATTCACCAACCCAGAAGCTCGGGTCCCAAAGCCCTGCAGTTAGTGTTTTTATCGGGGTTCATTAGTTATGATTGATTAAATCACTGGCCTTCAGAGATGAACTCAACCTCCAGTCCCTCTGCCCACCCAGGAGGTTTCAGGGTGGGGCTGAAGTTCCCCTGGCAACCTGCCCTCACACTGAGGTTATCCGGGAGCCCCAGCCCCCACTCGCCTCAAGAGCATACAAAAAACCACAGCACTTAAAAAAGATTCGCCTGGGCCCTGGCTGGTTCAGCTCAGCAGTTAGAGAGTCAGCCTGTAAACTGAGGGGTTACGGGTTCGATTCTTGGTCAAGACCGTGTACTTGGGTTGCAGATTTGATCACCAGCCCTGTTCGGTCGTGCAGGAGGCAACCGATCGATGTGCCCCCCCACATGATGTTTCTCTCTCCCTCCCTTTCAATCTGTCTGGAAACCAATGGAAAAATATCCTCCGGTGAGGACTAAAAAAAAGATTCGCCTGGCTTTAGGCTCTGTGCACCATGAAGTGGAGGCAGAGACCAATGTAGACTTTGTTTTGTGTCACAAGCCCCGTTAGGGTCTACTAGCAAATGAGTTTGTTTCAGAGATGCTGCTCTGGTGGGAAAGTGACAAAGAGGGGTGACAGGAGGGCAAGTCACACTGGTCTTTCTTCTCCCTCCCTGTCTTTTCTTTCCTTCTCATAAATTACATACCATGGGTATGGACGGGCCTTGCTTCAGCCCTTTAGTTCTTTCTTGTATTAAAACACTGACCAGTAATAGCCGGTTCGATTCTGAGTTCTAGTGAGTCAGAGGCTGAAAGGAAGCGTTGGAGGAAGGGATGGAGGGAAGGAGAGAAATGTCAAGTTTGGATAAATGGAAGGCCCTATAAAGGTGACTTTAGTTTTTTACCAGTGGTGTCTAACAGAGTGGTTTCATGCATAATTTACTGGACTGGTATCTTTTGTCCCCCAAAGGAAGCTAGGACATATTTTGGAATTTTGTCAACGAAGCAGTTTTTGTGAGGCTCAAGACGATATTTTCCACATTTACTTTGACACACCGGTGACTTAGATTGCTGAACACACCTTAACCCCGCGCTCAGCTCAGTGACAATGATAGCGATTTGGGGCGCTTGCTGGGTGCCGGATACTGTCCTAAGCACTTTCCGTGCTGTAGCCCTCACAGCAAACCCAGAGTACGTTCTATTATTAGCTCCATTTTGCATAAGAAGAACAAATTGCCCAAGGTCAGATAGCTGGTGAGCAGTGTGGCTGGGTTTGAGCCCAGGCTGCCAGGATGCAGACCCCGACCCCAACCGGGAGGCAGCAGGTCCTGGATAATTCTCTCTCTCTGTCTCTCCCCCCACACCCCCAAACACAAACACACAGTGAAGGAGTTTTTAAAAGCAGTAGGTCTGAATTGCCAGGCTTTGTGTGAGGCTCTGTTCTATAAAATGTACCCTTCATAAAAGTCCTGCCCAGTAGGTGTCAATGCTCCCCCTCACCCATCGCCCAGCTGGGGAACGGTGGGTCTAGAAGTCAAAGGTCCAGGGCTCATCCTTCTGCTTGTGAGGGCGCGAGGTTCCCAGGGCCTAGGTGTAAGGAAAGCAAGGACCCGTCCCTAACCCTATCTGAGACCCTATCTGAGATGGCTCCCGCTGGCGCGAGGCTGGGGCTGGGTTTTCCTTCCCACTTCCCCGTTCATGTTTGTCCTTTTCCCACGTTGTAAATGAAAGGAATATCTCTCACACTTAGCAATATTACTATGGAGGTTCTGGGATGTGAAAACCTTCCCACTGCCGCCCAAAACGGGGAGGAATGAGGACAGTTAGAAACGCATGTGTCCACGATGGATGCCCCCTGTAATAAGCTGTCGTGACCCAGGGCAAGGCTTCACGTCCATCCCTTTCTTACACGTATTTCCGTTACAGACAGCCCGGCATCATCGGGGGGGCTCACAATTCGGATGTTGTACAGAGCGAAGGAGCAGGAAGGACGACAAATGTTGTTCAGTAACCTCACTTTTCTACCCCCCAGCCATTGTCAAAGACCACCCAGCCCCTAAGGAATGCTCGAGAGAGCACAGCAAAAGCCAGTGAGAGCCCTGGCTGGTTTGGCGCAGCAGTTAGAGCGTCGGCCCACGGACCAGAGAGTCCTGGGTTTGGTTCCCGCTAAGGGCACGTACCTCGGTTGCAGTTTGTCCCCGGTCCCGGTGTGTGGGTGGCAACCAGTCGATGTGTCTCTCATATTGATGTTTCTCTCTCTCTCTCTCTTCCTCCCTCTCTCTCTCCTGCTCTAATAAATGCAAAAATGTCCTCGCATGTCCTCGGGTGAGGTTAAAAAAAAATAACCAGTGGGAAATGGTGGAGGTGGCAGGACCTCATCTCCCCCAGGAGACACCCATGTGAAGGCTGCAGGTCTTATCTAACTGTGTCTGACTAGAATCTTCAAGACTGGAAAAAGCATGTTGCTTTTGAAGGTCGCCCTCTCTGCCGTCCCCCCTCCCGCTGAGGAAGAGCCCTGGGAGTGCAGTCTCTCACCCAGGCCTGCATCTCCGGCCGAGGGAAATCCTTGAGAGCATTTCAAAGATGAAGAGGAAGTTCCCTACTTACTTTAGACTGATGAATAGTACACCTTCAAGTAAAGGAATCACTGTAAGAGCGAAGTTATGCATTTTATATTTTTTTTGGACACTTATTCACACTTTTTAACAGCTTTATCAAAGTATAATTGCCTAATATATTTAAAGTGTACAATATAAATTTTGATACATGTATATACCCATGAAACCATCACTACCATCAAGCTAGGTGGATGTATCCAGCGCCCCCTTTAATACCCCTCGCTCTGTTTCTCCTGTCACTGGACCCCCATCCGTAGGCCAACATCGATCAGCCTTCTGCCACTATAGATTAGTTTCATTTTTTAGAATTGTATATAAATGAACAGTACAGTGCAGTATGTGTTCTTTATTTTTGTCTGGCTTCTTTCACTTAGCATAATTATTTTGATATTTATCCAAGTTGTTGCATGTTATCCATAGCTTTTTCCTTTTTATTGCTGTGTAGTATTCTGTTGATTGATATACCACAATGCCCTGCTGATGGGTATTTGGCTTGTGTCCAGTTTTGGGCTCTTACAAATAAAACTGCTATTTTTCTTTCCTCTGTGTGAACATATACTTTCTGTATGGAAAGAAAACCTGGGGCCCAGGAGTGGGAGATTCACTTTTCACTGAACATCCTTTTGTACTGTTTGATTTTTTTTTTTTAACCCCATGCATGTATTTTTTCTAAATACCCATTATGCTATTATTATTCCTTTTTTTTAAACTACATACTTTCTTTCTTTCTTTTTTTGTTAATCCTCACCCAAGGATATTTTTCCATTGATTTTTAGATAGAACGGAAGAGAGGGAAGTGAGGGAGAGAGGGAGAAAAAGAGGAACATTGATGTGAGACGCATCAGTTGGTTGCCTCCTGCACGACCCTGACTGGGATGGGGACTGAACCCGCAACCCAGGTATGTGCCCTTGACCAGGAATCAAAACCCAAGACCCTCGGTCCCTGGGCCGACACTCTAACTGCTTAGCCAGACTGGCTGGGGCTACTACATACTTTCTAAAAGAATTTTTACATAGTCAGAACTACTGCTTTGTTTTTCTAATCCTCACCGGAGGACATTTTTTGTTCAGATAGAGTGGGAGGGAGAGAGAGAGAGAAACATCGACGTGAAAAGGACACATCAAGTGGCTGCCACCCACACGACCAACCAGGGTCAGGGATAAACTGCAACCAAGGTACATACGAGCCCTTAGCGGGAACCGAACCTGAGTCTCTCTGGACCGCAGGCCGACGCTCTAACCGCTGAGCCAAATTGGCCACGGCAGAACTACTGCTTTGTTAAAAAAAAAGAAGATTGTACTGATTTTGCATGAATGACTCTCAAGTAAAGACCCTTCTCGCTGTCACACCATGAATCTCAGGTATGAAGACTTTAGGAGACACATTTCTCTCCCGTACACCTGCACGGTTGCCGTGATCCGAAACAAGTAGATGGGGTACGGGCTGGTGAATGATCAGTCTGCAGTCTCACTTAGGGGAGCTGCCATCCTTATGCTGTCCGGAGGAAGAGGAATGCCTAAGCAAGAACAAGAACAGGGTGTGGGCTGAGAGGTTCACTTCTCGGGAGAAGGAAATACAGCTGGGTGCCTTCTACCAGCAGGACAAGTGAGCTTTAAATGAGAGACAAGAGAGATTCCAAAATGGCGGCGGAGTGAACGGAGCTACACAGACCGTCTCTCAGGACCAAACTGGAATTACAACTATAACACAGACAAATCGACAGGAAAAAGCAACAGAAAAGCAGCTTGCGAGGATCACACAACCAGGGACACTGACCAGAACCTGTTAGGATTGCGAAGGTGCCAGGCGGGGGCTGGGAGCCCACAGACAGCAGCGGCCTTAGCTGTGAGCAGTGCCCTCGGGTTCCACTCCCAAGCGGCTCCACAGCGCAGAGCCGGACAAAGGCTAAAACAGCCACAGCCACTCACCTTGGGCTCCGGCAGAGGGAGGGCAGACTGGACTGGAACTGTGTCGGGATACTCGGGATTTGGAGGGCACTCAGAGCTTTTGCTGAGTTGCTGCCATGCAGGACGGTGGCCATCTTGCTCCTTCCCAGGGCTCAGGGGAGAGGCAGCAGCCCCTCCCTTGGAGATCCAACCCCACCCTGTGGGCCACTGAAATGCTAAATGAGGCTCATTAACAACCAGCATCTGCCCCACCCTCGGGAAATCCCCCTATGCTGAGCACCTGAGGGAGTTTTCCAATCAACTGACAACCCCAAACCCATCAAGTAACCTCAATTGCTAGCCTCCAGGCAAAAAGCTAGAAAATAAGAGTACCTTTCCTGGGCTAGCAACTTTAACCAGGAAAGTAAGACTTGACAGCGGTGTTTAACGTGGGTCCTCCCTGGCTCATCTAAACCCAGGAGAGGGAGCCACAAACAGCAGAACACTAACACCCACAGGGAAAACTTGACAGGCTCCAAAGGCCACTGTGATAGCCAAAATGGTGAAACAGAAACAGAAGCCAAATGAAAGAGCAAGAGACTTCCACCGAAGATGAGATCAATGTGGAGCAGTTAGGCATGTTAACAGAACTAGAATTCAGAGCCATGATCTTGAGGAAGCTGAACAGCATGAGTAAGGACATAGAGACACTGAAAATAAGCCAATTGGAAATTAAAAACCATTAAGAAGAGATAAAAAAATGACATATCAGAAAAGAAAAACACATTGGAAGGTTTAAAAAGCAGAGTAGAGGAAGCTGAGGACCGGATCAGTGAATTAGAAGACAGGGTAGAAAAAATCAACCAATCAGAAAACCAAAAGGAAAAAACAATTAAAAAACAGGAAGACAGCTTAAGAGAACTGTGGGACAACTGGAAACGTAATAATATTCGCATCATAGGAGTCCCCGAAGAAGAAGAAAATGAGCAAGGATTAGAGAATATATTCAAAGAAATAGTGACAGAAAACTTTCCTAATTTGGTGAGGGAAGAAGGCATTCAAGTTCAAGAAGCACAGAGAGCCCCAAGTAAGAAGAACCTAAACAGACCCACACCAAGACACATAGTAATCAAACTGCCAAAAATTAAAGACAAAGAGAGAATCCTAAAAGCAGCAAGAGATAAGCAACAGGTTACCTACAAAGGAAACCCCATAAGGCTCTCAGCTGACTTCTTACAAGAAACACTATAGGCCAGAAGGGAATGGCATGAAGTAATCAAGGTCATGAAAAACAAGGATCTGAATCCAAGACTACTCTCCCCAGCAAGGCTATCATTCAAAATAGAAGGTCAAATAAAGAGCTTCCCAGAAAAAAAAAAGGCTAAGGGAATACATTAGCACCAAACCAGCACTTCAAGAAATGTTAAAAGGACTGCTGTAATTAGCAGGAGAAATGGGAAGAAAAATAGAACCACACTGAACAAAAATGGCAATAAATAAGTACATATCAATAATCACTTTCAATGTAAATGGATTGAATGCTCCCATAAAAAGACACAGAGTAGCTGATTGGATAAGAAAGCAAGACTCATCTATACGTTGTTTGCAAGAGACCCACCTCACAACAAAAGACTCACATAGGTTCAAAGTGAAGGGATGGAAAAAAATTTTCCAAGCAAATGGAAAGCAAAAAAAAGTTCGGGTAGCAATACTCATATCTGATAAAATAGATTTCAAAATGATAGCCATAACTAGAGACAAAGAAGGCCACTACATAATATTGAAAGGATCTATCCAACAGGAAGATATCACCTTGATAAACATATATGCACCCAATATAGGAGCACCAAAATATATTAAAAATCTTCTGGAGGACTTCCAAGGAGAAATCGACAGAAATACAATCATAGCAGGGGACTTCAACACCCCATTGACTTCAACACTGGATAGATCCTCTAGACAAAAAATTAGCAAGGAAACAGAGACTCTAAATGAAGCACTAGACAAAATGGATTTAATAGATATCTACAGAGAATCACACCCCAAAACTACAGAATACACATTCTTCTCAAGTGCACATGGGACATTCTCAAAGATAGACCACATGATAGGACACAAACTAAATCTCTACAAGTTCAAGAAGATTGAAATCATATCAAGCATCTTCTCAGATCACAATGGCATGAAACTAGAAATCAATTGCAACAAGAACATGCAAAGACATTTCAACACATGGAGGCTAAATAGCATGTTATTAAACAATGAATGGGTTACTGAGGAGATCAAGGAAGAAATTTAAAACTTCCTGGAAACCAATGAAAATGAACACACAACAACACAAAATCTATGGGATGCAGCGAAAGCATTTCTGAGAGGGAAGTTCATAGCACTACGGGCCTACCTCAAGAAACAAGAAAAATTTCTAATTGACTCTCTAACCTCACAACTTAAAGAATTAGAAAGCACCCCAGAGCAAGTAGAAGAAAGGAAATAGTAAAAATCAGAGCAGAAATAAATGACATAGAGATCAAAAAAACAATTCAAAGTATCAATGAAACAAAGAGCTGATTTTTCGAAAAGATAAACAAGATTGATGGACGCTTAGCTAGACTCACCAAGAAACAAAGAGAGAGAACCCCAATACACAAAATCAGAAATGAAAGAGGAGAAGTAACAACCGACACCACAGAAATACAAAAGATTGTTAACAGCTACTATGAACATCTATATAGCAACAAATTCAACAATCTAAGCGAAATGGACAAATTTCTAGAAACACACAGTCTCCCAAAACTGGACTGGGAAGAGATAGAAAACTTGAACAGACCAATAACAACTAAGGAAATTGAAGAGGTAATCAAGACTTTCCAGCAAGTAAAAGCCCAGGCCCAGATGGCTTCACAGGGGAGTTTTACTGAACATTTAAAAAAGAACTAACACCCATTCTCCACAAACTATTTCAAAGAATTCAAGAAGAAGGAAGACTTCCAAACACGTTCTATGAGGCCAGCATAATTCTAATTCCAAAACCAGAAAAAGACACTACAAAGAAAGAAAACTACAGGCCAATATCCCTGATGAACATAGAAGCCAAAATCCTGAACAAAATACTAGCAAATCGGATCCAGCAATACATCAAAAAAATTATTCACCATGACCAAGTGGGATTCATCCCAGGGATCCAAGGCTGGTACAATATTCGCAAATCAATAAATGTGATACACCACATAAACAAAATGAAGAATAAAAACCACATGATAATATCAATAGATGCTGAAAAAGCCTTCAACAAAATCCAGCATCCATTTCTGATAAAAACTATCAGCAATGTGGGAATAGAGGGATCATATCTCGACATAATAAAGGCCATATATGAAAGAGCTACAGGCAACATCATACTCAATGGGCAGAAACTAAAAACATTTCCCTTAAGAACAGGAACAAGACAGGGATGTCCACTTTCGCCACTCTTATTTAACATAGTACTGGAAGTCTTAGCCACAGCAATCAGACATGAAGAAAAAATAAAAGGGATCCAAAGTGGAAAGGAGGAAGTGAAACTGTCATTATTTGCAGATGACATGATATTATACATAGAAAACCCTAAAGACTCCATCAAATATCTATTAGACTTAATAAATGAATTTGGCAAAGTAGCAGGATACAAAATTAAAGTGAAGAAATCGACGGCATTCTTATACACCAATGATGAACTCACAGAAAGAGAAACTAAACAAATATCCCATTTACCATTGTGGCAAAAAAATTAAGATACCTAGGAATAAACTTAACCAAAGAAATAAAGGACCTATTCACAGAAAACTACAGGTCATTGAAAAAAGAAATAGAGGAAGATATAAAAAAAGTGGAAGCACATACCTTGTTCATGGATTGGAAGAATTAACATCATTAAAATGTCCATATTACCCAAAGCACTCTATAGATTCAATGCAATCCCCATCAAAATACCAACAACATACTTCACAGAACTAGAACAGATACTTCAAAAGTTTATATGGAACTAAAAAAGACCCCGAATAGATACAGAAATCTTGAAAAAGAAGAACAAAGCTGGAGGGATCACATTACCAGATTTCAGGTTATACTACAAAGCCACTGTAATCAAAACAGCCTGGTACTGGCACAAGAACAGGCATATAGACCAGTGGAACAGAACTGAGAACCCAGAAATGGACCCAAGGCAATACGCTCAATTTATATTTGACAAAGGTGGCAAGAGCATACAGTGGAGTAAAGACAGCCTCTTTAATAAATGGTGTTGGGAAAATTGAACAGCTACATGCAAAAAAACGAAACTAGACCATCAACTTACACCATACACAAGAATAAACTCAAAATGGATAAAAGACTTAAATTTGACCCATGAATCCATAACAATTCTAGAAGAAAATGTAGGTAACAAAATTTCAGACATCATACGGAGCAAATTTTCACTGATACATCACCTAAGGCAATAGAAACAAAGGAAAAAATGAACACATGGGACTACATCAAACTAAAAAGCTTCTGCACAGCAAAAGAGACAATCATCAAAATGGAAAGGCAACCCACTGTATGGGAGAACATCATTGCCAATGATGTATCAGATAAGGGGTTAATTTCCAATATATATAGAGTGCTCATACAACTCCACAAAAGGAAGACAAAGAACCCAATTAAAAAATGGGCAGAGGAGCTGAATAGACACCTCTCCAAACAGGACAGACAAATGGCCAAGAGACATATGAAGAAATCCTCAACATCACTAATCATCAGAGAGATGCAAATTAAAACAACAATGAGGTATCACCTCACACCTGTCAGAATGGCTGCCATCAACAAATCATCAAACAACAAGTGTTGGCGAGGGTGTGGAGAAAGGGGACTCTAATACACTACTGGTGGGAAGGCAGACTGGAGCAGCCACTGTGGAAAACACTATGGTGTTACCTCAAAAAATTAAAAATTAAACTGCCATTTGACCTAGTGATCCCACTTCTAGGAATATACCCCAAGAAGCCTGAAACACCAATCAGAAAGAATATATGTACCCCCATGTTCGTAGCGGCACTATTTACAATAACTAATATCTGGAAACAGCCCAAGTGTTCATCAGTAGACAAATGGGTAAAAAAGCAGTGGCACATATACACAATGGAGTACTATGCAGCTGTAAGAAAGAAAGATCTCTTATCCTTTGAGACGACATGGAGGGACCTAGAAAGTATTATCCTAAGTGAAACAAGCCAAACAGAGAAAGACAAGTATCATATGATCTCATTTATTTGTGGAATATAATGAACATAACAGTCTGAATAATGGGGTAGTCCTAGAGACATGGAAGTGGGGTACAGACTGACAATCCCCAGAAGAGGGGGTGGTGGGGGAGAGATAAACCACAGGACTTATATGCATGTATGCATGAACAATGGACATGGACAACAAAGCTGGGGACAGGGCAGGGAGGGTGGGAGAGGGGGGAAATCAGTGGGGGAAAAAGGAGAAACATCTGTAACAAAAATAAATTAATTAATTTAAAAAAAAAGAATAATAGTGCTCTGATGCTGTAGCTAGCTGTACACAATTTTTTTTATTGCAAAGGCATTACAAATCATTTCAGAGGTCTATTGGCAACTATGTGGACAACAAGTGTAGGCTACTGTGTCATTAAACATTTTCCTTTCTACCTATTAGATGGAAAATCATTAAAATAGTTTTTTCAGAGTTTCTGATTTTTTATCCAAATATTTTCTTTTCTTATTAGATCAGGGAATTTATCACAGACTCTTTCCACACACCCTTGACAGGCATAAGTACAGTTCCTTTCTTCAAAAACTCTTGCTCATTAAGAAAGCTGGGTTTTCCTCATTGTTTTGTTGAATGCTGTGCTCAGTCTTACCACTTGGTATCATTCTCCTCTTCTAACTATGTAGAAACCTGTTGCATCCTTCAAGGTCTTATTCTAGTCTCATCTCCATAAAGCGTTTCTCGCCGTAGCCCACATGGCTCTTTGCCTTCTCTGAATTGCCATTACGGTTTCAGTTGTGACTCTGTAAAGGATAGAAGGTGAACAGTATCTACAGCAGCAAAACAATAGTGCCTTGCCCTGGCCGGTTTGGCTCAGCGGTTAGAGCGTCGGCCTGCGGTCCTGAGAGACCCGGGTTCGGTTCCCGCTAAGGGCACGTACCTCGGTTGCAGTTTGTCCCCAGCCCTGGTTGGTCATGCGGGTGGCAGCCACTCGATGTGTCCCTTCACATCGATGTTTCTCTCTGTCTCTCTCTCCCTCCCGCTCTATCTGAACAAAAAATGGAAAAATGTCCTCGGGTGAGGATAAAAAAAAAAAAAGAAAACAATAGTGCCTTCTCACCAGTAAAACTAAAAACTGCTTAAGATCAGAAATCATGTTTATCCCTGAGACGCTGGTCAGTGCTTATTGCATCCTTTGTATTCACTTCTAGAAGTGGGCCACCATATTTGGGAACAGCAGCCTATGCTCAGAAAAGCAAAACAGAGTATAAACATTTGAAGACTCAAGGGTCCTCCTGGAGGATGGACTTTTCTAAGGTAAAAGTACTTATATGTAAATGTATATAAATCATGATCTTTGATCGGCACATGAATAGTTCTTCCTGTAACAGCAAAAAAATCTGAGTCTTCTATTTGGTATTCATAAAAGCCCAATAAAAATTTCTTCTTTCGCCCTGGCCGGTTTGGCTCAGCGGTTAGAGCGTCGGCCTGCGGTCCGGAGAGACCCAGGTTCGGTTCCCGCTAAGGGCACGTACTTCGGTTGCAGTTTGTCCCCGGCCCTGGTTGGTCGTGCGGTGACAGCCACTCGATGTGTCCCTTCACGTCGATGTTTCGCTCTCTCTCCCTTCCTCTCTCTCCCTCCCTCTCTATCTGTACAAAAAATGGAAAAATATCCTCAGGTGAGGATAAAAAAATAAAAATAAAAAAAAATAAAAATTTCTTCTTTCATCATGTGAGACAAAAGAAATAAAAAATATGCCAATCTAATCAATGGAGGCAACAAGAGGATGGATGATTTGTAAAAATGTGACCTTAGTATCATTTTGATTCTGTCTACTCATTCAGCAATTCTGCTTTTGCAGGATGGGGGTGGGAGGAGGGATATGGAGGAAGAATAAAATTAGAGAAAAGACACCTCATTTGTTTGATTAAAATTCTACATTCAGGCCTGTGTCATGAATCAAGCAGTAGAAAGTGGGTCCTTACTGGTAGATGGAGAGGTGTAGCCGAGGCGGCTCATGTCCCCATGTCTTCTGTTCTGTCTAGAAAAACTCCATAAGCCTTTGGAAAGCCGTTTCAAGTGTGGTCAGTGTTTGCTAGAACATTTAGTATTCCAAGTGTTTCAGGCACACAGAACAAACAAACAACCAACCAAACAAACAAACAAACAAACAAACACTGTTCCCCTTCACCCGCAAACCCAGGGATTTTAGCAGAGTTTCTGTTGCTTTGTGATCATTAGGCTGTGTTATCAGTAATCTGTAGTCATTCAATTGTAGTTTTATTTTAAACCACTCTCATTTTTCACTGGATCCTGGAGCAGCAGCTTACAATGAGAAATCAGGTACGATCACCTCACTCTCAGTCTTGTTTCAGAAAGTCTTTGCTCATGTCTGTTCTTCATGGAAAAAGGGAAATACAGAAGGAGACTGTCACCCCTGCAAGTGTTCAGGTGCGTGATTGCAGGACCTTGTGGGGACAGCTTCAGAGGCAGTGAGTAGCAGCAGACATGTTCTCTTAGAGTTCCCATTGATCCGTTTCTTTGCTCATAAGATGTGAGATGCTTCTGACCAAAGCCCTAGAAATTGGTCAGAAGAGGTGATGTACTGATTGTCCCTTGCTCAACGAATGGAACCTGCCTAATCCTAAGGGTAGCCCACTTGAGATTTTCAACCAAAGCGCAGGCCAGTTGGAACTGGCTACTCATGTACTGCTTCTTTTAGATAATTAAAGCCACCAGAGGTCTTTCTAGGTAGCTGAAATTAGAAATGGGAATTGAAGTAAAATATAATTACCACATTTTACCTATTTTAGGATGCATAGTTTTTCACATCTCTGAAATAAAGCTACTACTGTACCTATCAATCAATAGTGCACCATGGTTTAATTGGCATTATTTTTCCATTCTCAGTGGCATATAATAATTGTGCCTTAGCCCAGCCGAAGTGGCTCAGCTGGTTGAGCATCGGTCCTCTGCACTGAAAGGTTATGGGTTCGATCCCTGGTCAGGGCACATACGGAAGGCAACTGATCAATGTTTCTCTCTGTCTCTTCCTTCCTCTCTCTAAGCATGTCCTAGGGTGAGGATTAAAAATAATATTGATGATGTTTTAGATTCCATGAAATACAGTGTCACAGGTTGGGTTCCCAAAGAAGCAGAAACTGAGAGGGAGTTAGGAATGTAAAAGGGTTATCGTGAAAGGGAAAGACAAGAAACAGAATTGGGCAGGCAGAGCCATCGGACTGGAAGGAAAACCTGACAAAGCTCTGCCAGCCTGAGATTGCCCATCAGGGAAGTCCCACATTGGACATAAATGACCTTGATCAGCCATTGATGGGGGCCACCCTGAGAATAGCGTGACCTTGGCTACAAAGCCCAGAGGGGCTAACAACGGGAGGCTGTATTCTCTCCTTCATAAGCACAATGAAGGGGGATCTGAGCAGCTCATCTTCCTGTCTGCCACATACAGTAAGTAGTTTTTAGTCAATCAGTCTTAATTTCACTAAAATTATTCCACAAAACTGAAGTATGCTATGGTGCCCATTTGCTGCACTATGCCCTCCACAGAGCACCCTTGACCAATGACTGAGAGACTATCCCAGCTCCTTTCCCTTCTGGTGGTATAACTCCGAGACACGCTGTCCCCTGGTGGAATTAAGCTTCATTTGCTTCATAACATATCCTTTATTCCTTTCCTTCCCTATTCTGTCTTACTTTCCCACTCTGCCCTCCCATTTCATGCCCCTGGTGTTTCCTAGGATCAATCTCCAAATAAACTTACACTCAAATCTTTGTCTCAGAGTCTGCTTCTAAGAGAACCCAGACTAAGGCACTAAGACTAGACAAACAAGTTATGAATAAAGCCTCCACTTGTTTTTGACTCATAATTAAGTCCTTTTCAATATTTGGGCCCTAAACATGGTTCTTTCCATGAGACACCACATACACAGTTTTCTTACCACCATCGTTGTATCATAGTAGAGTAGCTACCTCTTATGGAGTATTTACTATATTCCAGACACAAGACTAAGCACTTTATGGGTGATTTACCATTGAAAACTCTTGGATATTCTTGGTCTAACTACATATCTAGGTGAGAAAGAAAGTTAGGAAGGAGGCTAGAGGAAGTTCATCTCTCTTTTTTATATGGGACACTCAGTCTCCTGATGTGAAGTGGAATTACATCCTTTTTAAAGGAATCCTTGCTTATTTTTTTATTTTTTAATCTCCTCTCCTATTCCAGAGACTGATAATTTGGGGGAAAACTATAGTTGGAAAATACCCATTAATCACGATGACTTCAAAATTTTAAAAAATAATGAGAGTCGGCTGTGTGAATTTCTCCGGAATAAATTTGGCTGTGTCTCTACCCTGGTCTCTCCAGCCCAGAAAAGTAACAGCAAGTCTTTAGAAAGTCTCAGCAAGTCTCAGCAAGTCTTTATAAAAAGGCTGACTCCTGGGCTTGAGCTATCTGTCTGGAAGGGTGACCTCACCAGACATGTTGTTGATGTCGTGGTGAATGCAGCCAATGAAGACCTTAGCCATGGGGGAGGCCTGGCCAAGGCCCTGGTGAAAGCTGGCGGCGAAGAAATCCAAGAGGAGAGTACAAGATTTGTTTCTAGACATGGTAAAGTACCAACTGGTTCAATAGCTATCACAGGAGCAGGGAGGCTTCCCTGCAAATACATTATCCATGCCGTTGGGCCTCGGTGGTCAGAGATGAATAGAAAGATATGTATGGCTAATCTGGAACTGGCCATTTTAAATATTCTGTCATCTTCAGCACACTGTGCCCCGAGACAGTAGCAATTCCAGCCCTGAGCTCTGGGATTTCCCAGTTCCCTCTGGATTTGTGTACAAAGATCATTGTGGATACTATCAGGCTTTATTACCAAGGGAATCAAATGATCAGTAATTTGAAAGAAATTCACCTGGTAAGCAATGAAGACCCTACTGTTGCTGCCTTTAAAACTGCTGCAGAAGGCATTCTAGGGAGCAGTGAGCTGGGGTCTGGGGTGAGTCAAGGAGCCATCCTTCACAATACAATGGTTTTGAACAACATGACTCTCCAGATTGTCCAAGGCCACATCGAACAGCAGAAGGTAAGTCTTTGTTTCTATTTTCTTGCACTGCCACAGGGGATCCCTGAACTGTTTATTACCTATCAAGTATGTTTAGAGTATATACTATTTCTTCTTCTTTTTTTTTTCATCCTCACCCAAGGACACCTTTCCATCTTTTGTTCAGATAGAGTGGGAGGGGGAGAGAGAGAGATTGAAATATCAATGTGAAAGGGACACATCGAGTGGCTGCCACCCGCACGACCCACCCAGGGCCAGGGATAAACTGCAACCGAGGTACATGCCCTCAGCGGGAACCAAACCTGAGTCTCTCTGGACCGCAGGCCAAAGCTCCAACTGCTGAGCCAAACCAGACAGGGCTAGAGTTATACTATTTCAGACACTATTTAATCTTGTTAAGGTTAAGAGCATGGACTTTAGGGACAGACCATCTGGATTTGAATACTAGCTTTGCCATTTACTAACTGGGTGATGTGAATCTGGTTCCTTTATGTTTTGGTTCTCAGTTTCCTCATCTGAAAAATGAGGATAATAATAACACTTATATCTTAGAATTGGAATCAATACACATTAAATGCTTAGAACAGAGCTTGACATATGATAAGTATTTATAGCTATATTGCTGTTTTTCTTAAGCACCATGAAGAAATAAAACAATCTTTGATATGAAGGAACTTAAAACCTATTATACCCTTTCTGTGTTGAAATTTCTTTATTTAAAAAATCTCATTGAGAGACAGACCATCTGAACATTTCTGAAGCAACCTACCAAAAAACAAAAAAGTCTTAATACAAAATGAATTCATAATATTTAAGAGTATAACAATTGGTGACAAGGGTGGAGTGGACCAAGAAAGATTACTTTAGAAGATGAGAATTTTGGATGTGATCTCAGCTTATGATAGATATGATTTGGCAGGAGGCATAGCCTTATTGTTAGAATGACTTGATCAGAGAGACACAGAGGATGATAGAAAGAAAATAATGGGCTGGACCAGTCAGGAGATTTAGGTGGACCTGTAAGTCGAATTCTGAGTATACGACTCTATGCCAGGGGCCACAGAGGATACAAAGTGTGACTTAGCAGTTAGCCAGGGTTTCTTGGGCACAAATGAGAGGGTCTGGCAGGGAGGGTAGGGAGTCAGGGAAACAGTGAACCTAGGTATTTTGGGTTTGTGCAGCTCCCCTGCTAGGTAGAGAGCACCTTGAGGATGGGGATCATGGCTTGTTCATTTCGGTAGCCCCAGAGCTCAGTTGGGGCATGCTTCTAGGTGCTGAGCAAATTACTGATGAATAAGTGAAGGGGGAAGCAGGGAGCAGGGACTGCTACAGAGGAAGATAAAGAATGGAAGGCTATATTCTCTTTCTTTATTGGATCAGTGATGTCACACTTAAGACTCTCCTGTGGCCACAATCAAATTGACCTACTCATAAGTGAAAAAATACCATGTACTACCTGCAAGACAATTAGAAAGAAAACTGAGGGGACTCCCACAAAATGCAATGCAGTCAAGCCTTGGTTCTTGAATGTCTCCCATGACGAATAGTTCGGGTCTCGACCAAGTTGTTCATGGAAAAATGTCTTGGTTGCCGAATAAAACTTCCATTCGAGAACCCTCTCATGCTGATGTCCGTATGATCAGTCATGCGTCTCTCTCAGGCGACAAACAAAGGAGAGAATGCATGAGTATGAGTTGGTTTACTGCTAAACTTTGAGTTGTTAACATCTCAGGAAATTGTGCTGTGAATATTTTTGTGGGTTTTTTTTTTTTTTTTTCTTTTTTGGGTGCTTATTATTATTAAATATATACAGTAAGTCACCATGGGTCCTAAGAAGGTTAGTGACTGCAGCAAAGAGAAAAGGAAAGTTGTAAGAACAATGTTAGAGCTTAGACATGTACTGTGTATAAGAAAGGTTAAAACAGGAAATCATTTGGGGGTCTGGAATAGATTAATTCAATTTATATTATTTTTATTGGGAAAAAGTGATTTAGTTTTTGAACAGATCGCTTCCCAAACAGCCTTACAGAGCAAATTGAGTTCGAGAACTGAGGTTCCACTGTATTTATTTGATAAGTCATTAATATGCCAATTTAAAATTAAAGTGGAAACATCCTGGTTGAATAACGTATTCCTTTAACTAAAATTTTATTGTATTTATCTATTGCCAAGAACACTGGGAACTTTAAAATTTTTAAAGGGGGGCAGTTCCCCAAAATTGGAAATTCTGATTGTACTTTCAAAGTGAAATGCCCGGCCGGTGTGGCTCAGTGGTTGAGCATCGACCCTGCATCAAGAGGTCGCCAGTTTGATTCCCGGTCAGGGCACATGCCCAGGTTGTGGGCCTGATCCCCAGTGGGGGGTATGCAGGAAGCAGCGAATCGATGTTTGTTATTAATGTTCTCATTAATGTTTCTATCTTTCTCTTCCTCTCCTTTCCTCTCTCTCTAAAGTCCATAAAGAAAAAAAAAATGCTTAGACGAAATGAAGCATTCATTAACATCTATGAGAAATACCTAAGTTACACCCAAAGGGAGCCAAAACCATCAGGATGATTTAGGGGGATAAGGGCATGGTGGGGGGAAAGGATATAACCTTTTAGCACAGTTCTTAGAGATAACAACAAATCATCAAAGAAGTGTTGGCGAGGGTGTGGAGAAAAGGGGCCTCTAGTACACTGCTGGTGGGAATGCAGACTGGTGCAGACACTACGGAAAACAATATGGTGTTACCTCAAAAAATTAAAAATTGAACTGCCATTTGTCCCACTGATCCCGCTTCTAGGAATATACCCTAAGAAGACTGAAACACCAGTCAGAAAGAATATATGTACCCCCATGTTCGTAGCAGCACTCTTTACAATAGCTAAGATCTGGAAACAGCCCAAGTGTCCATCAGTAGACAAATGGATAAAAAAGCAGTGGTACATATACACAATGGAGTACTATGCAGCTGTAAGAAAGAAAGATCTCGTATCCTTTGAGATGACATGGAAAATATTATCGTAAGTGAAATAAGCCAAGCAGAAAAAGACAAATACCACATGATGTCACTTATATACAGAATATAATGAAAATAACAGTCTGAGGAATACGGTAGACCCAGAAACATGGAAGTAGGGCACAGATTGACATCCCTCAGAAGAGGGGGTGGGGAGTAGGAAGAGATAAACCACAGAACTTAAGTACATGTACGCATAACCAATGGACATGGACAACAAAGCCGGAGACAGGGTGGGAGGATGGGCAGGGGGGTGCCAATGGGGTAAGAAAGGAGAAACATCTGTAACAAAAAAATAAATAAATAATAAATAAATAAATGAGAGACAAAAACCAGGGCTCCTCTCTTGGGTGGCAGAGACTGGCCACAGTGGTCAATAGTTATTCCGACCGAGAGTACAGGGCACCCTTGATCACAAGCCACGTCTCTGAGCAGGTCAGGTGTACCCCTCCAGCACCCACAGTTAGGAGCGCATTGATGATGCAAAGAGACCATCTCCCCATGAGGTCGGGGTGGGGCCATTACAGGAAAGGATACAGCTGGGTGAGAGTCAGGTCTTCTCCAGCTAGATGCTGGCTTCCCAGTCCTGCTGCCCAAGTCATACAGCACAATTCAGCCCTTTAGATGCAAAATTAAAATTGAGTCTGGCATGGTTTGTGTAGTCTGGGGACAGAGGATATTGACCCAAACTTGCTTTGATAGCCCCACTGTGCCGGTTCTGAGGACCTGTTCTGTGGCAGAACAGATGCTGGACAGAATGTCTGGAGTCCAGGCTCTCCAGCCTTACCTCTCACCAGCTGTGTGACCTCAGCAAATCTCTTCCCTTCTTTGGGTTTCCATTTTCTGGCGTGTAATGGCAGGGCTGGGCCTAAGGTCCCTGACAAATTCTGTGATTCCCAGAGCTTTGGGGAAAAACCTCATACATGGCATTTTTCCCTTTTGGACTGTTTTGCTGGCTAAGAGCTCCGGTGTTGCCCAGTCCTGGCCGTTCTCTGCCACCTGTAACTCATCTCAGAGTCCCTGTGCTGTTCAGGCTGGGTCTTCTTCTGGGGAAATCAGGCACCCTGAACCCACCATCCCCACACGGGAGCCTGGGGGAACGTCTTCCTCAGAGAGCCAACTGGATGAGTCTCCTCTCCACACATCACAACATTCTAAAAGGGGGACTTCAATAGAGAAGAGACCTCCACCTTTAATACCACACAAGGGCTCACTCACCTTGGTCCAGAGCCCCAGGTTCCTAAAACCGGACACAGTCCCCAAGAAGAGTCTTTCTTTTTCTTTTTTATCCTCACCCAAGGACATTTTTGCATTTATCTTCAGATAGAGTGGGAGGGAGAGAGGGAGAAAGAGAGAGAGAGAGAAACATTGATGTGAGAGAAACACATCAAGTGGTTGCCACCCACACGACCCCAACCGGGGCCAGGGACAAATTGCAACCAAGGTATGTGCCTCTAGTGGGAACTGAACCCGGAACTCTCTGGTCCATGGGCTGACGCCCTGACCGCTGAGCCAAACCGACCAGGGCCAAGGAGAGTTTTTCTAATGACTCTGTAATCAAACAACTTGTGTCTCGGTGACCCTGGGCCTTCTACAAGGCCCAGCTGCTTCTGTCCCAGCCTGGCCTTTGCTCAGGTCATTCTGGCCTCAGCCGCACCACTAGGTCACCCCTGAGGACTCCTGGAGAACCCTGCAGGCCAGCCTGGGTAGGACTCCGGGCACAGTTTCTTCCGAATCCTGAGCTCCCAACAGGACAGTGCCTCACTTAGCGCTTGAGGGGCTGGGCAGCTAATTCTGTCTGTGTTGACTGTGCTCGTGACCCCAGCAGGGGCTCAGCCTCAGGATCTGGGCTCTTAACTCTCAAAGTCATTGGAAAATTCTTCTCTATTCATGTGGTCCTTCCAAATAGCGTAACAGGGAAACATTTTCCCTAATGTCCCATGGCTGAAGGGACAGAGGATCTTAGCCATCTTCTATACACAAGCTCTCCTACAAAGCAACAGGGGAAAGATGACCACCTGAGAGAAAAGGCACAGGACATTCCCCTTAAAAAGAACAAATGCAGATAGTCAATATATACGTCAGGGGAATTGGTCACTCACTAAATATTGAAAAGTGAAAATTTAAACAATTGTGCTTTAAAAAAACACTATCACGTTGACAATAAGCACATGGGTTGCCTGGGTTGACATTCCAGCTCTCTCTCTTTTTTTTAGTCCTCACCCGAGGACATTTATTGATATTTTGTTCAGATAGAGTGGGAGGGAGAGAGAGAGAGAGAAACATCGACGTGAAAGGGACACATCGAGTGGTTGCCACCCACACGACCCAACCGGGGCTGGGGACAAACTGTAACCGAGGTACGTGCCCTTAGCGGGAACCGAACCCGGATCTCTTCAAACCTCAGGCCAACGCTCTAACCGCTGAGCCAAACTGGCCAGGGCAATT